CGTAAAGGAAGGAAGAAATCTCTCCGGCCCCCCCGCTTTTTTTTTTTTTCTCAGTCTCCGCAGTTCTCGTGATCTCGCTCTCGGCGGATTTTCACGAATTTCACCTGGCTGATATGCTGAAGCAGGCTGCCCTGTCCCGTCACAAAGTGTGATTATACCTGTACCATATTATGTAATGTATAATCTTATGTTATACCGAATACAAGGGGGTGCTTTGGAACCCTGAGTCTTTTGTTCCACGACATTCTCGAGTTTAGTTTTTCCGTTAACTCGGATCGCCAGCTAACGCCCAATCATTTCCCTTTTCCTTCCGATTTTGTAATTATTAATCATTATTATAATGCAAGCAACTTATCAAAACTGAAAGGAGTGATTTTCAGCTTCGCATTTCGCCTTTCCACCCAATGTGGAATCACCCCGCGCATTTCCAACGCGAACACAATAACTTTCCCTCACCGGAATCTCGCAATAATGCCACGATCCGAGCATTTTCCACTGCGAACTCCGAAATTTTTTCGACTCGAAATTCCTGCGAAGCCATCAGACGCCAGAGAATCCGCGAGGGATCGAAGGATGGCAGTCGTAGGAAGCGAATCTCTTTTTCACGGTGATATTTAGGTTTTCTTCTCAATTTCGGAAATCCGAATATCCCCCCTGTATTAAGAATTCGCTTCGAGTCCCCCAGGAAACATAACTGCATTTACGATTCGTGCAAATTCGCGCAGACGATGGCATTCTCACGTGAACAATGCTCTCAGCAGATATTCACATGGGAAGTCGGTTTCACGTCGTGACATTCACTCATTCCTCACGAAACGTCATGCTAAACGCATTTCATCAATGTTGATGCTCGTCGATCGAGTTTCACTCATGGCTGCGAAAGCAAATCTGAATTTTGATTCAGCAGGCTCTCCGCACGCCTCGACGAATTGTGCTTGACGCGCACGATTTGAGAGGCCATTCCGAGACGTTCCGCGAATAGATTTCCAAAATTACTTCATGGATCGTTCAAGTGGACATGGAACTTCCCGAAACATAAATTTCATGCAAGTTCATCGTCAGGTTTTTGAGAAATTGCAAATTTTTTCCGATTGTCTCGAATTTTCCACCTGGAACCTCCGGCTATGAGCGATGACAGATTGCCGTAGGAAAGGCCTATCGAAACGAAACTGGCACCAAAATACTCGGAAGAATCTTGCCTTGCGAACGGCGTGAGAACCGCAGTCATGGCATGGGCGGACCGCGAGCAATCGCGGCGAAAAGGCATCGAGGAAGCACAAGAAAAACCGGCAGAGGGTGCCGGCCGGCGAGCGGCGTGGACCGTTCCTCGCCTGTTCCCTGGTACGTCCGCGCTGAGAGCTTAAACTCCACGCCGCTCGCTTCTCGCTCACACTCGCTCTTCGTTGCTTGTCAAGTTAGCTTCGTGCAAGACATCCACTCCTTCGTCTCCATCGCCATGGCCGACGCTGCTGTTGCTCCTACTCCTGCTGCTGCTTCCCCTGCCAAGAAGGGAGGAAAGGCGAAGGCTGCTGCCAAGCCGAAGAAGGCCCCGGTCCATAACCATCCTCCTTATGGGGACATGATCGTTGCTTCCATCGCTGCCTTGAAGGTATGTTTATGCCTTTACCTCCCATTGTACCGACGGAATTTGTAGCATCGGAATCAAAGGACTTGTACGTATGAAGTCATCTGCTACTATTTCATTTGTAGAGCTTAAATTTGGAACCTCGAATTAGAATGGCACCGCCTAACTGCCTTTAGCTTATATTCATGGAGCTACTCGATGCTTGGTCTGTCTGTTATGTTGGTTTCAACTTGACGGGGCTGTTTTTCATCAGCTCATTTGATTCATTTCAACTCGTATGACGACTTGTATGTATGTATGTATAACACAGCCGTTGAATTCGTTTACAGGAACGAGGTGGATCCAGTCGTGTGGCCATCCTCAAGTACATCATGCAGCACTACGACGTTGGGGCTGATTCCAAGGTGGTGAACTCCCGCGTGAAGTTGGCTCTGAAGAAGGCGGAAACCTCTGGGAAGATCAAGCATGCCAAGGGAGGAGTCGGTGCATCCGGTTCCTTCAAGCTGGCTGATAAGGCCGAGAAGCCGAAGAAGAAGGTCGTGAAGAAGCCCAAGTCCCCCAAGAAGCCTGCCGGGGAGAAGAAGGCCAAGACCGCGAAGCCCAAGGCCCAGAAGTCGACCAAGCCCAAGGCTTCCAAGCCAAAGAAGTCCCCGAAGAAGCCCAAGTCTCCCAAGAAGGCCGGAGCAGCGAAACCCAAGGCAACCAAGCCCAAGGCCGCAGCGAAGCCCAAAGCCGCCAAGCCTAAGCCCAAGCCCAAGGCGACCAAGGCCAAGGCTTCTCCCAAGAAATGAGCCTGACATTATGGACTTGGAGCCTCTGTGATCTCATTTGTATATATTATGTGTGGTTGACAAGTGGATTGAATTGCTTCGTCGTAGGAGTTGGAGCATTTTGTTTTGTGAGAATGATTAAAAGCTTTAATTAAGATTTTTTTTAAGTCTTTAGTTTTTTTTCCCTCCCCTCCCTCGAGAGGATTTGACTGCACCCATTGGAAGATGGAAAACCCCAGTAAACGGTTCATGTCCTTCGCCAGGAAGGGGGCCCTCACATTGCGTTTTCTGAGGCTGTTAACGCCTGAAGTGTCTCTTGCCGAAAATTAGTTGAGGATTACCCGGGCAAGAGAGTCCGGTCCTTTGTAGATAACCATCAGCTGACAAAACGGAGCTTATGAGGCAAGTGAACGCCGGTGGCATGCCTCGGAACCGTCATTTCTCTTTGTCCGTGTCATTTTTACTTCTCTTTTTCTCCCATCATTCTCTCGATCTCACGCTTAATGCCTCGAAGTCGCCCGTCCGAACTGTTATGTTCACCTGGGACCTTCCTCACCCTGCTTGGTGTGGTCGACGCAAGGTGCAAGCGTCTGCGGTACGGGACGGTTCATCGGACAAGTAAAGCTTTTAAAGGCTGCTGAAGATCATCTCATACCTTTTCGTTTCAAATTTTGTGTCTCTTTCTTTCAGGGTATACGAGGGTCACCCCACTTAAGGTCCCTTTTTTTCCCCTCGGAAGCCTTTATTGTACTGGAGCACCATCACAAAATAATCTTAGGACTTCTGAGATTCTTCAATCACTTTCCCACGTAGTTTCCATCCGATTCAACAAATTTTCGCTAACGTTGAACGAGACCACGCATGCCAGCGCGATGCAATCGCTCGCGCAACCGTTTGCGAGCTGACAAGTTACTCCATCTTCCTCTTCGAATTGTTTTCCGTGGAGACCATCGTTAAAGGCGAAAGCCCACAGTCCATCCGGTTTTCGCATTATTGCCTGTGTTGTCCTCATTTGTGCCGTGTTGGGACGAATATCGCGAATACGGTCTTTCGTGTTTTTCAGAATCTCGACATATCTAATCTATATATAAGCTCTAAATCGATCGTACACGGTGACTCGAAGTCCGCGAATTGCTTGAAAACAACGTGGCTTTCCCGGCGGAAAGTGTCGCCTGGAATTTCCTTTTTGACAGCGAAACTCACGTGACGCGAGATTTCGAGATTTCAAAGTTAGAAGTGATCATTTTTCTGAATTTCAGCTTAGTTTTTCGCTTTCTCGTAACACCTCGTAAATTCGACAACTAAACTTCTTCGAGGAAAAAAAAGAGGCATTTCTTTCGGGGTGACCCTCGTGTTTTTCACAAAAAGCAAGTGGATAGAGTTAATCTTGAACATAAAAAAATAGTGCATTGTGTTACTGCAATCCTGCCCATCGTGTCCCTTGTTTGTCACTGCACGGGGTCATTTTCGAAGCGCTACTAAGGCTCATTATTAGCTAATAATTCTCTGATGAGACTCCAGATCCGATCCACGGTGTTCCCCAAGAAGACTCGAAAGTCGCTTCCCCCTCGATCATTCGCTTCTGAGAAATCTTCACGTCGCCGAAATTCAGCAGGTCTCGTCGCATCGAAAGACCACCGATGACCACGGACTTCCTGACACCGACTCGACCATACTTTCAGGTCGACGAAATGCCATTTCGTGCAGCGGCACCGCCTGCTCGCCGGAGGACCGCCACGAAAGGGATCAGCAGTCAACAAGAGTCGATAAATGGAATCGAATTGAAATTGACTCCAAAAATGAAATTTCGGGGAAAGAGGGACGTGAAGACGGGCCATAAAGCTAGGCATTTGTCGAACAAAAATTCCCCGTCGTCAACATTATTGCTGTCATCTGTCATCATCGGCAGTGACACTCATCTCATGAACCTCATTACCCTTTCACTCTTTGAGAGTCTACCGCATGCACAAGGATTCAGGATATCCACCATTGCTTTAGGGCTGCATGATTTGAGGTGCCCTTAGGCAGAACGCCTTCTCCCCTTTTACGTCATCGTCGCAAGTCGTTTCTCTGTTCCTACTTTTTGGATTCGTAGAATCTGTGAAATGGGTTCATGTTTCTTCAAGGGAGCACATCTTTCGAGTCAGACGTTCATGCATGAGGAACGTCCCACAAGCATCCGAGTCAGCTGAAGCATCGTCTCAAGTGAAAAACTGCTTGGTTCGTTTCGTGTTCATCCCGATTGGTTTCTGCCCAGTGACGCAAGTGGTGACGCAGACGTTCATCGCATGGCGGTGTGCTGGCGTGGACAAGCCGTCGATGCCTAAGTATTGGATTGATAATGGAGATGATGGGAGACGTCCGGACGGCCGAGAAAAGGGTTTGGGACGTGAAATGCGAATGTTGTACTTATCGGTATCCTCGAACAAAAGCAATGTCGTTGTACAGTGAGTTAAACCTTCTCCGCCCTCGAATTTTTTCTTGATTATTAGAGGTATAGAAGTGTCACCTTGGTAGTGCTTGGTTTGGTTGTAATCTTTGTCATTTTTACTTTCGTTTTACTTGGGCCATGTGCGCTCTTCCTATGACTTGAATGTATTTTTAAGGAGAGTCATATATTAATACAATAAGGCAACTATCTTTTCTTGCTTCTGAATGATAATCATGTTTAACACGAGATATTTATAATGCCATCTTTCTGTTAGTTTCCGTTGTTCATGTAAGCAAAGATGAACAACCTCCAGATTCGATTCAGCAGACAGCACAGGAAAGTTTGGCTTAGGAACAACAGATATGTGTATGTTTATGATTCATCTTGTTACATAGACTGCCTTTAGCAATGTTAGTGTGAAGATATGTCTTTAAATTACAGTTTGTTCATAGGAAGAATGAATGGGTATACCATCCAGAAGCCCAAATTACACCATTAAAATGTTGGTTTGTGCATTCCACACAGCATGGCGACATTCCAGGGATGTTCCCAACTGAATGACCTGTCCTGAGGTCTTGGTTGGACCTCCTTAGGACATCTTCAGCTGAATTCTTATCAATATTCCAAAAAGGATATCTTTGTTGCCCTTAGTTGAATGCTTCTGGATATCCTGTAAGGGAGTTCTTTAAAGAAATCTTCAGTCGTATTTGTCAGTTTTTTGTCTGTTGGTGCATAACATTGATGGTAGATGTCTCCCACATGCCCTGATCTCAAACCTCAGATATTTTATATCAAATTTATCAACTTGAGTTTTACAGAAGAGAAGTAATGATTTTTGTATATCAGGAAAAGTGCCACTGAGGAAAGTGAAAAAATAGAGGTCCAAATTTTTTAATTTCCTATGTTATAATTTCATTAATGATGTCTGATCAGCATGTCTGTGTATGATCAGATGTCTGATCAGCATATCTGTGTATGATCAGATGTCTGATCAGCATATCTTGGTTGGAAATCTGAGCCCATACTTAAGTTTAAAGAAGTATGACCTACTTATCCAAGAAAACTGGGTGACTTCTCATAAAAAGAGCTAACTTTTACCCCATGGAGATGTGTCTCTTATATTGGGTCTTTCAAGTAAAGGATTTCCCTCACTCTTTACCGTTATACTCTAATCGGTCAAGAATTTATGACTGGGGAGCCCTAGAAGATGAAGTGGAGACTTCTTAGAAAATAAATGATTGTCCTGTATGGTAAGGTATAAATGAGTCTATTTCAGAAAGAATTGCACCCAAATATTTTGAAATCCCTGAGATATCAAAATCATATCCCTGAGATATCAAAATGAGTCTGTGCAAATAATATCTGGGACTTCTCACTTGTCCAAAGGGAATATCTCTAGGATGTACTTGTGTTTTGTGGGATGGCACCATCCTCTCACCATGAAGCTTAACCCATACCACTTACCACAACTATGTTGCCTGCTGCCAGGGCATCCTTGCTGTCTTGGCACCTGATGAAATGGAGCAAGATTTCATGAAGCAAATCAAGCGGAGTATTTGGGGGCAATTCTTTCTGAAATAGACTGTCACGGCGACAGTTTTAGATGCAACGATTCATCGGCAAAGTATGCAATCATAGACGGTGAATAATGTTGAGGAACGAGCAACGGAAATAGTCTCGAAATAGAAATAGTCCCGGTGCCCTTCACAATCCGCGGTCTCACGAAGGGGAGGGGCTGGGAGCCATCGCAGCTGGAAAAAAAAAAAATTGGCCTTCGGAATGTCTTCCCGGCCATTCTTACCAGTATTAACATTTTCCCTTTCGTTTTCCGGGTAGCACAGGGTCCCAATCAATTACGGATTTTGCTTGTGGCACTTTCCTTTCATCTGCCGATCCATCACGATGACCTGAGAAGCCATCAATCGTGACTCGGCCCCAGTGCCAGCATGAAGAATCCCATGCACTCCTTGATAAAATATGTTGTACCTCTTAATTCATCAATCTTCATCGTCCGACGACCAAAAAATTAAATCTCTCGGCTTTTCCCCCGTTTTCCCTAAGGTGGAAATAATCAAGTTACCGAAGTGATGGGACCTTGGACGACCTCGTTGAGAAGTCCGTCCTCCAAGGGGTCCGTCGTGATCTGCCAACAGCAATGAATATTCATAAACTTCTGTCTCGCTACCCCATGCAGACGTCATGTACCGAATATATACAAGTTAGTAGCGAATTGTACTCTAATATCTTCCCGATTGGCTTATTCTTTAATTTTCACTTCACTTACCATGAAAGACCTACGAATCCTGCTAATGGGCAATTTAAAACGAGCTTCCTGTTCGATACGGAAGTTCTTCGAGTAACGGATGACAATTCCAGGATCGAAGGCTCTTTGTACTCGTGGGGGCTTTAAAGTTTTTGGTTTTTCACACATAACTGAACTTGAGACTTTTACTCCTTTAAATTCAACCATTGCTTCACTGTTTTTTTTTAAATCCAGCAGGAAACAATTTTTTAGGAGTAGCTTCCACCCACTGGTTGATGCAAGGTCAGCCCTTGACTCATTTTCTTTTTCTAGGCATATAGCATAGCAATATAGCATTTTTGTAACGAGGTTTCTTATATGTCTGAACTATGAGGTGAATGTGGTAGAATATCCAGCCAAGGTTGCCCCAGTGGTGACACGGGTTGTATGAAAATGGGACTGCCTTGCAGTAGCACCTCCCCCTGGATGAGGCCACCCCTTTTTAGATTTGGTGAATTTAAGCTTGCTCTAAAATAGTTGGTTACTATTGCAATGCATTACTGAATATCTTGGTATTCATTTCTTGATATGGATAAAGAACTGCCCTTGCATAAGTTAGTGGGTGTAAGGTACTCCTGAAGAAGGGTTTTGCTTCTGGAATCCTTAGTCAGGTGGAGTAATAGAAGAAGTATTGATAAAGAATGATTACCTTTAAAAAGCAGAAGTAGAGTAAAAGTTTCTAAAATATCATGCATGAAACTGAACTTCAACGTTGCATGCATGATATTTAGATAGAAATTCTGCTACTTCTTAGCTTCCCCATGTCAACTTAAAATTCATTGCTTTCCAAGAGAAAATTTAAAGACAACAGGACACAGAAAGACACTCTCATTGGAGGTCATCAGCCATGTCACTTATACCCTGGCAACTTAAATTTGATTAGATTCCCTTTGGATTTTTTAAATCCACCAATCCATCCAAAAGGTGAAACCAGTCCTTCATCTCATTCAGATATGGTGCAGGAAGGAAGAGATACAGGAATAGAATGAAAAATAGAGTCCTTCCAAAATGTGCAAGCGAGGACTTTCAGCATTTTCTTCTTTCTTCCCAATCACCCTTCACCAACTTTGTCACATCATGAGCCAGAAAGAGTCACACAAGACACCCTCTAAAAAGAATTCCTGGCTATGTCCTTGCTGCTATAGTTCCTGCTGAAGTTATGTGTATAGGAAGTTAAGTTTTGATATAACCTTCCATGTGTTTCACTTGTCTTCCCAGCTCTGGACTTTTCCCAGTGGGAGCAAACATTTTGGTCAGATTGGCGCTGCCAGAGATCTTGCTCCTGGTATTTATCAGATAAGAAAAAACTAATTTCCCATTTTGACCTTATGTCCACCAATTAGACATAGACCTGGGTGGATATGAGTGCTAATATGTGCTAGGCATGCAGAAACATGATGGAAGTAGGGAATGGTGAGGTCACAAATCTTAACCCAGAATTTGAAGAGGAAAGGACTGATTGTCTGGACATTAGGATGCTCATGAGCAATTGCATCAGTGCCAATAAAGTATGCATGAATACTGCTGCACATTGGGCTCTGTGTTTGAGAATAATGGTTGCTGATGGATATGTTGGATGAAGAGCTCAAGCACATATGATGGTGTTGCACTTGTCAACAGAAGAACTTGTCCAATGCTGCTTCTTTTTATTTTTTACTTTGTTGTTTCTCATAAGTGCAATGGCAGTTTCATCACAAAATATTGTGCAGGAACATCTTTGAAAGTGAGTGGGCATATGACCCCTCCCTTAAGATCTTTTTGAAAAAAAAAAATCCCTTGATTGCCCCCCCCCCCCCCATGGTTCCTGCACCCTTGACCCTATCAAAGAGTACACTTGGGAGAGAGAATTGTGTTCAGTTACTTTTTTGATCAACTGAGGAATGAGAAGCACAACTTAATTCATGTGTAAGAGTATGAGGCAGGTAAAGGAAATTGAACAAAGCAAACCTGGCTAATGAGACTGCCCTTTCCTTGCTGCAATCTATCTTGTATTTTACAGCTCAGGGGGATATTAGTGCTCTGGGATGTAAAAAAGTGTCAACCCTACCATATACAGTCCCTGTTCAAAGCAATAGGGACAGTGGTATTTTTTTAAAGGAAATATTTTCCCTCCCCAGCTTAAAATGTTTCAAATGGCACATAATAACATGGGCAAAGGAAAGGATCTTGGATGTTCAGAAAGGGCAAATTCAAGCACTCGTCATGACAAGAGGTTATTCAGTATGCCTAATAGCTCAAATGGTTGGTGTGTCAAAATCAGCAGTTGACTGATTTTGCCAGAAGCTGAAGGCCAGGATGGCATTTGTGAACCTCAAAAAGCAACACTGCTTCAAGAATTGATGCAGAATGAAGCGGGAAGATAGACGAATCATTACAGTTGTGAAAAAGAACCGTCAATCAAGAACCAGTTGCTTGTTGATTAAGGCAAAAGGCAGTGTTACAAAATATTGGGATTTTCGTGTGTACAACATCATTGAAATTATATTGAAAGCACAAATATAAACAAACAGTATTCCGCTCTATTTTCATCATAAAAGATGTGAGTTAAGTTCTGCATGTCTCAATAACCAATTACATCACCAATAAATTGGTGAAAACTAAGTTTGCATGAAAATTTCTGAGTGTCCCTATTGCTTTGAACAGGGACTGTACTCTCTGAAATCTGTTATTTGCTTCAATATCTGTTTTGTTGGAAAATAAAAAGGTAATGACCTTTCCAAATTTTGTTTCCAGAGAAACCATGGGAGAACCCCTTCAACTTCCTTCTTGAATACTCCAACCAGTTTCTCCTGGACTTCTTCTGGATGAATGGTTAGTGCCGCTGCAAATGGATGCCATAAGCACAGCTCAACATAATCACATCAAAGCCCAGACATACTTAACTGAGCATATGTCTGCTCTCATGGGTTTGCACTTTTGCTCTTCGGGGGTTGTGTGAAATTTTAGTGAGATTCTTTGCTGGAGGCAGGAATCAGATGTAGTGAAGCTGTGTGCTTATTGAAGTAGGTTATCTTTTGCCTCGTTTCTATCATCCATAGGTCATGAAGTTCAGTCTGAAAGATTGCTTCCTTGGTACCTTTGATACAACTTCCACAGGTGTGTAGACAACAAGCACCCAAACTCAAAGTATGCCTTTATTCACAAAGGATTGAAGAAAGAAGGGAAGGAATGGAGTCCCTGAAGTTTCATCCATTTCAGTGTGAGTACTTCAAAGATCCAGGAGCATATGTTTGGGATCTTTGTGTTCTTATGACAATTCATTGCAGACATTTAAGTCACATGCATCTTTATTACAAATCTGCACTTTGACAAGATGCCAATTGTTACAGTTACCTTCTCATGAGGACATTGAAGGGGCTGGGATGATTTCATTGGATAACAACTTGGCCCAAACAAATCCAGTTGGGTAGACTGGATGAATGCCCTTTAAAAAATCCTTGTTGTCAATTGCAATTCATGAATAAGAATCTCTAATTAAGATTGTGAGCCACTTCATGGAGCTTGCATAATTTCTTTCCCATTGGCTAGCATTTGCCCTACAAGGAGATGCTCTAATTTCAGAGCACTAAGTCTTTGTTTCAGTGAAACTATTTGTGGATTACTTCCAGCGATCTATGCATGTTTTTAGTGTTTCTTAACCCTGCAACTACTATTATGAGTCCAATGGACCCTTTTACAAAAATTTAGTCATTTGTGTAGGCTGTGCTGTGAACCTGTAAGAGTAATTAGACAAGGTATTTTGAAGAGATTTCATCTCAAAGAGTTAAACATATGACCGTTCAGGGTCTGGTAGTTCCAGGGGTAAGACTGAATGAGATTGTAAGGTGGCTGGTATTAAAAACAACCTACAATTGAAAATTCCACTAGCTATCTTAGAGCAATAACTACTTTTTAAAAATTTTGATTATTGAGGTATCAATCTTGTCTGTGCTGGTTGGTGCTTTGTGGTTCTCAAGTTTTGTAACTGTTTGTAATTGTTTTATGCATATTTAGTTCATAAATTCATGAGACACTTGTCCTGAAGCTGGGGATTCACCCTGACAATTCCATATGGAATGGCAACCTATAAGTTATCTAATTACTGCTGATACTGTCATGAAAAAAATTTAATTAGAGGTTGATTTGCTTATTGGAAAAAGAATTCCATATTAAAAGGGATTGTAAGGTTCAAAAAAGGAGGTTGTCTAGGATTTGTTTGAGTACAATGGTGCACCTTATCAGGAATGGTGATTGCTCAACATTTGATCTCTCTCACCATGGATCAAGGAAGTGATGATAGCTAAAGAAGAATTAAATTAGTCATACAATGTCTCTTTCCTAAACTGGCAACACTCCAGCTTTAAACTTTATACATGCCAAACAGTTAGACAGATTATTTAAACTTTTAAGGGTGTGTCAATGAGAAGTATTCCAGATTTTTCTTCCCCCATTGCATGCTCATGGGGACCAAAGTGAGACAGCATTTCATGATCAACAGGGAAAATAAAAGTTTCCTTCATTTTGGTGTACTTTGCAGGTCAGTGGAAGAGGAGAGAATGAAGTGTCCTGCCATTCATTTGCCATCAGCAAGAACTCTAGCTTGAGTCATCACTTTCTATATGAGAGGATCAGTTTCCTGAGTGAACAGAAGAGGTTGAATGTGACCAATGCAGTTTTGCACAAGCAGTGTCCTTATCCTGGAGATCCTTCGCTTGTGTATCTTTGTCAGGTTGTGTTGCCCCTAGACTTGGAACATACCTCAACTTATTCCCTGGCTTCATTCCTTCAATCAAGTGTGAGAGCCTCCAGATCACCTGAGGGACTGTTCTGCAGAAGAGGAAAAAGACAGTGGTCATGTACTCTCATGCTTCATGACAGCTTCCCATGGTGTACCATCTTCTCATAACCACTTCACTCTTCTGTCTCACAGTGCTGTGTGTTCTTTAATAGGGGTCTTCATCCAGAGGAGTAAAGTGAACTGCTGCTACCTACCTGTGTTGTCATTAGGTATAATAATATAGGAAGTCGATTCAGATGTTTAATACAAGTGGTGATCAAAAAAAGTTTCTGCCCTGAAGAATGGAAGAAATAGGAAGCCCTGTTTCAGGAATGGGACAAGTTCAGGGAGGTGATGAAACATATTTTATTTTTCAGCATCAGTCTATCACATTCCCTTATATCTCAGGGCAGAAACTTTAGGGTCACCTCTCGTGTATGTGCACCTCATTCACCCATGTATGTGCAACTATGAAACATTATAGGGAAAAATGTGCACAAAAGTAGTTCAAATTACCCTGGTGCACCTTACCTTTGGTCAATCCACCAGTTTGCAAGGAAGATGCTCTCTCAAATAACTGCCTTAGAACACTGGGAAATTCCCTCCTTCCTCAACCTAGAACAGGAAATTCAATCTCATAACTTATTAATTTTCATAATTCGCCATCAATTACATTGGGTATTCACCCTGATGCTTTAAAGATCCATTCGCACTAGATGCTATATATAGCCTGAAACGATATTGAATAGAATTTCACTACCTGGTCTGTGGTCAAAAGTGGCAATGAAATTAATTGAAACCGATCTGTTGACTCTTTTTGGTGAGTGAGATAAGGCTCAGTCGTCTCACCATCTTGAGCCATGTTCCATTACCATAAGAATGAAAGATAAGAGGGGGCAGGAGCGACCTCATCATAGTGCCAACTAGGACTGTCACGGCGACAGTTTTAGATGCAACGATTCATCGGCAAAGTATGCAATCATAGACGGTGAATAATGTTGAGGAACGAGCAACGGAAATAGTCTCGAAATAGAAATAGTCCCGGTGCCCTTCAGAATCCGCGGTCTCACGAAGGGGAGGGGCTGGGAGCCATCGCAGCTGGAAAAAAAAAAAATCGGCCTTCGGAATGTCTTCCCGGCCATTCTTACCAGTATTAGCATTTTCCCTTTCGTTTTCCGGGTAGCACAGGGTCCCAATCAATTACGGATTTTGCTTGTGGCACTTTCCTTTCATCTGCCGATCCATCACGATGACCCGAGAAGCCATCAATCGTGACTCGGCCCCAGTGCCAGCATGAAGAATCCCATGCACTCCTTGATAAAATATGTTGTACCTCTTAATTCATCAATCTTCATCGTCCGACGACCAAAAAATTAAATCTCTCAGCTTCTCCCCCGTTTTCCCTAAGGTGGAAATAATCAAGCTACCGAAGTGATGGGACCTTGGACGACCTCGTTGAGAAGTCCGTCCTCCAAGGGGTCCGTCGTGATCTACCAACAGCAATGAATATTCATAAACTTCTGTCTCGCTACCCCATGCAGACGTCATGTACCGAATATATACAAGTTAGTAGCGAATTGTACTCTGATATCTTCCCGATTGGCTTATTCTTTAATTTTCACTTCACTTACCATGAAAGACCTACGAATCCTNCCCATTGGCTACGGCACTGAACCGAACAACGGACTGACACAGCACCGCATGTGCAGCATTATCAGAATCGATAGTTGAAGTCGAAAACCTTCCCGACGGAGTCGAATGAAAAAAAAAGAAATCCTCGAGCGCATGACGACGGGAATCGGCAGAGAATGGGTGGGAGAGGAACCAAGAAAGAAAATTGTGAGCAGAGTATACGGCGTCTGGCCTCGCCCTTCTTTCCCCGAGGCCGCGGTTTTCCGCGATCCCCTACACCGATACGACCAGAAAAGTTCATTATCGTATCCGTCCTTAACCGGCTCGAACAGACAACCGGCGGAAACGGCCTATTTGGCAGAACGTCCTTGTGCCGTGATTCCCGGATTTTGAACAGAGGAGTAGGGAGGATGTGGGAAATAATGCAAGGCGCATTATTTTTGTCCTCCTATATTTATTGAATTATTTATTCCATATTTTCTACTCCTCCTCTAAATTTGGAAAATCTGGAAGTTGGTTACTAATGTAATTAGTAATTTTCTATTAAAATTTTTCAATTTTCGAACGGTTTAAATTGAAGCTATTAACCGAATTAAGAATTAACCGAATGGAAACATCGGGACCAGAAAGCCTCTAAGTTAAACTAAGAAAGTTTGAAGCAAAAAACAAACTCAGGGCGGGAAAGTATATCGAACGCAATACGATTAAATGGACGACCTTTTTTTTTTTCCCACGTCCAACTCAAAGTCCGATGCTGCCAGTCGAGCAGACGATTCGTGCCACGATGAGCTAATTGTGAAAAGCAAGAATTCATGAGCATCTGCACCAACATTTGATGCACTAATAATGATGAGTGAAATCGTGAGACGATACCGCCATCCTTCCACTCTTTCCGACCGAAGACTGGATGGAGGCAGACCTCGAGCTCCCGGCACAGCGAATCCGAAGGCGCAGCGTCCTCTCCGCTGGACTCGGATGCAAGCTCGTGCCGAGCAGAATGGGGAGGCGCTCTGAGCGAGGCGAGGCTCGAGGTCGTACGGTTAAGGGTGGAGTCATATCTTGTATCGATGCGGAATAATCGGAATATGAGGCTGTTCTTATTAGAGGTGCCGAAGGCGAGTTCTAAAAGTTACGTTGAATAAATTAAAAAAATATATTTTGATCAGATTTAGAGAAAACTTGAGGCGTCCAACCCTGAGACAAAACTCGTAAGTACCTTCGATGAAGTAATAATGTGCTTTTCGAATGGGAATGCATGACAACCTGACATGAATAATAGATAAAACGAGAAAGACGAACTGGAGTGCCGTATGATTGTCCGAAGGCAACATTTAGAGATATTGTATGCAAGCTAGGATGAGGAATAAGCGGTCTGTAAGCCCAAGACGACGGAAAAATCGTGCACTTGCTGAAGGGCTTGGCGATTAAATGAATTGCACTTAAAGGAAGCAATTAACTCGAGTTGCATCGCGGCACTCGTTTCCTTTCCCGCTTTCAAGAGAGCCTTCGAGGGTGAAAAGAAATTTCTTCTTCGTGCCATTGCCATGCAGTAAATGGACGAGTTTTGTATTTTGCGGGACTTTTTGATGTTTCCGTAAATCTTTGATATCACGAGGAACCGAGGCGTCGTGATAACTGGGTCGATACCCGAGCAGGTCCGTTTTGCTCCCTGAAACGACCGATAACCGGACCAAAACCCAGTCGCCTCGAATTTATGCGGTTCACGACCGAATTCCTCTTCGAACCATGACATTCCAAAGGTCAGGCTAACGGAGCCGGCCATCAAGCGAGTCGCACAGCAGAAAGTAAAACCATCACGAATCGGCGAACACACGTGCAATAATAGCGATACCATGGCAAACTCGAGCCAACTTCGACTCACCCCATCTCTGAAGTGCGACACGCAGAACGCGAACTACCTCGCGAAGCAAGTCAGACACCTGTATCCAACCTCCATTCACGCACGAAAGACGACTGCGTGTGCGTGGAAAGCACAGTCAGGTCCGTTCCCCGCCCCCCCTCCTGCGAAGCATGTATAAAAACGCATTCAACTGTTTTTCCCTTTTCCCGTCCCGACTCTCCTTGGCACGACTAGACCATACTAAAAGACTGGTATGCTTTATAATGCAAACATGCTTCAGTGTTCCAGGTGGGGAGGACTGGGGTGCGGCGAGACACTGGATTTCCTGGTACCGTTAAAGATGAAGTTGCAAGCAGATCGACTGGCGGACTCGTCGCATCTGCATGGGGGTTTCTTGCAATCCTGCGTCAGCCTGGGCAGAAATAATAGATGAATTTTCACAATTCAGTGCCTTGTGTTATTGAATTGACTCAGACCAAATATGTACTGCGGGCTTGGCATCATTCATCAGTCTGCGCCCTATTCTAGATTATTCATTGCCTTCTTTATTCCCTTTGACATTGATATGAGCTCATTCCAGAAAACCAAGCTATTGAAAAAAGAGGCATTTGTTTTATGTTTTAGTCTTCTACCCAGTAGTGTCTCCCAATCCGATTGCACAAAGCAATATTCGTTGAATTCGGTCTTGCATCCCTGGTGGCACGTGTCATTGTGTCCAGGAAGGACGGTAAATAATACCATAAGAAAGCATTCTTCCCTCAATCTGAATCGTATTTATTACTTGACTCCAATACTGATACAAACAAAAACAAACTTCATATTCTAAGAAATAACTGACAAGAGGAAGGAAAGTGGAGATGGAGGCCGAAATGGTCTGTACATCTGCTGGAGGCATGAATGGCTTCATTGCTAATCCATGATATGAAGATAATGAACAAAGCAAGAATAGATAGAGAAAACAAGATTTGGCACTTGGAATTTGAGAGTTGAGTGGAATCCAGCAAGAGCGAGAGTCGAAACCTCGTGCAATTTGAGACAAATCCCTGGTATTGCAAAAAGTCAAAGATAGAAAGAAATAGGGAAATAAGGAAAGGGTGTGGAATCCAAGCAGTATTAACCATGTCAACACCCCTCTAGAATTATTCATTCCCTTTTACACATACCCCAATTAATTTCAATCCTCCATAAATCAAACTTCTTTGTCCTTCTGTACAGAACTTGGGGGAAGCAATAATAGGCAAATAAGATCTGACTAGTGATGAGCTCTAAGGACTGATTTTTTTAGGTGCTGGTGTGATTTTTTTTTTTTTCTCTTCAATGTCTAAATTATTCTGTACACTGGGTTCATGTCAGCTGGTATGAAGAGAGAGATAGAGATGACTATCCTGGAAGGATTCTCTGCCAACAACCAGGGTTCTAGGCACCAAGGTTAGCTGTAGTACTTTGGGACTGGTTCAATTACTTCAACAGCAAGCCAGTTGCTCTTATCCACCAATAATCCTTTACAAGTCAAAAATCTCCTCTTCTATAGATAATGTATGCTCTGCATGAATCTAGGTGGAAAATATGTCTCATTTCAGGGATACACCTTATTCCATGAAAGTCACCTTGAATGCTCAAGGGAAGAAAGCCTGTCTGTGAGCATAAACCACACTGCACTCTTTTATGGACCTGTCTTGGTGTGTTTGTCATATGTACAAGGATGATGCAAGATCTGATGAAAGCCAGCTTCCGATTTGTATACTCCCACCGACACACAAAGAGAGAAAAAATCAAAGTGGGACTAGGGATACCAAGCCTTTGAGAGACTAGTGCAGACCAAAAAAAAAAAAAAAGAAACTCCCTTGGAAAAAAAAAACATGTGACTCACACAAAGAAACACACACAACATCTTTCATAATACAAACACTGGAAGTAGTAGGAAAAATACACTTCCACACAGTGTGACTGAATCATCTCTTATCTTCATTTCTCCGGGTTAATGGGGAAGATGATCATCATCCCTTGAAAAATACTCCACAATGGCTTCTGCTTTGCTTCTTCTTTTGCAGGGTCCTTACAAGTACATATCACAATGTGACTGATAACCTCAATGAAAAATCAAATATATCATAGTATAATTATATCACATCTCTCAGAAAAGAGAGAGAGAGAGAGAAAGAGATACAGCATCTGCATCCAGCAGAGAAAAAGATAGAGAAAGAGGAGATGGTCTATGAGATCATGCCTAACTGAGAAGGGGTGCATGGGATTTTTTTTACCCTTTCGTTCCCTTTTTTTTTGAGGTGCCGTACAATATAAATCCTAGGCCTAGATGTGCTGTATGTGTGTGTGAGAATATGGAAAAAAAAGAGAGAAAAAGGGTTTAGATTTAGAAGTGGCAGTTATCATTACCTGTCCCTGTTACCTGGGAAATCCAAGTCAAGATTATACTGAACACATGTACGAGGACTGTTGGGCTATTTGTGTCACGACATCAAAAGAACCAGCTAGAAGCTTCTATGATCAAACTCCCTAGGTGTTCCAGCCACCCGGTCTTGCTTCCAAAGCACCCATCTCACAGGTTAGAAGAGAAAAGAGATATTTCTTTGGCTCATATCCCCTTTCATCCAAACAGGCCCAAGCTCTTCTGTTCATTTCATAATCTCACACTGATGTCTCCTGTTGCATGCACAGATACTTTGTCAAACCTGGGGTGGGACAGAATGAACTCAATCACTCAGAGATCAGAGGTCCCACTGAGAGCGTGTTCGGTGACAGACAGGCAGAGAGACTCCAGACGTGTGTTGAGATCAGAGTCTGTCGGGGACAGAGGCTCGTCAATGTTCAGCGATGAGAACAGTGATGGACATGGGCGGGCAATCGGTGCAGACTTGGTGCGAAGTAGAGTCACGTGAGGCCGCAATGGCTACAGAAGAGAGCAAAAGAAAATATCTGCTGACTACCAATTTCTTGAAAAAACAATTGGGTCTCCATATCAATGCAAGAATAATGCAGCTAGGATGCAAATATGTTCATGGCTGAGCTAATCCCATGAAGAAACAGAGATTAACAGTAAAATGGCAAATCAGAGAGTAAAAATTACATTGTAACTGTGAATGCCTAAAAACAATTATGCAATATGTATTGCAATCTAGTCACTGTGTCCTTACTTGGTTTCGGCAAGGAACACTAGATTTGTCTAGGGGCATTTAAAGAAAAATGGGTTTTGCAAACTTCCTTTGAAGGAATGAGTTGCTGGACATCTTCATGTAAATTACAAGAAAGCAAGCAATAAACAGTCTCTTCCAGCCTATGAGACCCTTCAAATAAAGTGAAAGAAAATCTTAAGATCAAGTAAAGAATATCTTGGGTTCTTTTCACATGAAGTTTCACAACTCTGAAAATCCTTGCTTCATTGGGGTCTTGCTTAACATAACAACAAATACTATTACAGCAAATACAACACTTTTTCTTATCCTGTTATGATGCAACATATAATACTTCCATGTCAAAAAATTAAAGCATGTGGTATATTTCAAGTACAATAACCACGGAAAGAAGCTGAACCTTTAAGGATAAAACTTGCTTGCCATAATATTATGAGTATGACAACTGTGTTTCTCATGCATCCACAGGCCAGCCTCTGCCTATACATCAAAGTTAGCCAGAGACATGTGATGTTACAAATAGTTTGCAGGAAACAGAAGTCAAACCTCAGTCCCCTAACCTCTTCCACTTTTATGCTTCTGGTTTCCAGAATCAAATCTAAGTCTGAATATCATAATAATAAAAATAATAAAAGTGAATGAATAAAGGCCTCATACCTCCTGTAAGCTGGGTCTTTTGGTGAGAAGCGAACACTGCTTGGAAGGAGTAAGGAAATTCGATGATGATGGAGGGCTCAGGATTCCAAAGGTCACTCCTTGACCAGGTCCACCATGTCCTTGATGCTGTGAAATGTAGGAGAAACAGGAACCAGATGGTGGTTTTCCTCGGACACTGTGAGCAAATTTGCCTCCTCTCAACCCATTGTATCGGTCTCCATAATGTCCATTCCATCTGAAAAAATGATCATGCATTTTAGGATTGACTGTACTGGAAAGGGAAGAATTCCCAAGAAAAGGGGAAGAGAAGCTGGTACCTCTTTTGAGACCTGCCCATGTAGAGCTTCTGGACCTGGACCTGCCAGGCACGAAGTCGCTTCTTATGATCATTACCAAAGGCCTCATGACTCATGACCCGATCACACAGACGCAGGTATGGCACAATGCAGTCTTCCACAGATGGACTTTCATCCACCAACACACGGGGGAAGGCTAATGAAATACATCAATAACCCAAACATCTAAGATTCTGATCTTTGATATACAAGGACTCAATGTCCTTTAGTTTAATAACAATTTCAGTCTTCTCAAGTTACTGGGAAACAAGATAAACTACAGTTTCAAACCATTTCTTTAAAGTTCTTGTTAATAGTTGACTGGAGATAAATGATAAACTGAAACTGGCATCAAGTGAAACCAATCCTTAGGTAAAAGTAGACTCATTTCAGTTCAATCCCATGCTTTACAAATAGGTTAGAAAACACAAACTCTAGTTTAGATCCTGTTTAGTCAGTTGCAGTTAACGAAAACTGGAAAGAGGGCAGCTTTACTCAGGATTTGTCTAGTCAATGGGACAAAAACTAAACTGAAAAAGTGGTTTCATTTCATTAGCTTATTTCCAGCTTGTCTCCAGTTTGTTATTTGGAGATAAACTTAAACTAAAATGACTGACATGAAATCACTGATAGGCTTATTTGTAGGCTGAAAAGTCTAATAAAAACTGAAGCAAGAAAAGAAAGAAGATCTTAAGACTTAAGAGTTAAGACAGATATGAACATTTACTTCTGCTCAGAAGACTCATGAGTTGACCGGGGAGATCCCCTTCAGGAATGGCAGGTTCAGTTTCTGCTTCTCCTGCTTCATCCAACTGGACCCGGTGACTGTATGCTTTGATTGGAGTCTCCAGGATCCCCTTGAGCGTAGACAACACTGTACTCAGGCTCATCTCACCCGAGATCAGATCCTGTTCCATCTGGCGGACCTGAGATTGGCGTTGCTTGAGCCGATCGATGCTGAGCACCATCTTGTGGCGAGCACCCTTGGTCACCCCCAGGCTCTCTAGTTTCTCCTCTGTTAGCCCCATCATTTCCTCATAAGTCATATGAGCAAAGAGGTGCAGGTACTTGTGCAGCCGAAGGCTCTTGAGCCACATCGGGACATCCCGCATGCCTGAGCCCTCAGTGTTGAAGCTGCTCTTGGGTTCGTCTGCCTGAAGCTCTGTGCTCCCTGACGAACTGGACGATGAAGACATGGAGATATGGGAATTTTGAGGTGAGAGTGGAGCACGGGACAACTGGAGGGAAAGGGAGCGAGGTTTGGTGATTGTGGAGTCAATCTCGCCTTTCAACCAGTGACCGACGATTCCATTCGTGCCTGGGGTCAAACTGTTGCTCCGCATCACTCTCAACCCAGCCACAGTATACGAAGATCCTAAAAAAAATGATAAGGTATTTCCTGCTTATCCCCAAGTCACTTTTGCTGTAAAAAAAATTTATGAAAAGTGACAAACCATTTCCAGAATTGGAGAAGGATGATGGATTAGCAGTGGGTGATTCAGAGTGAGTGGATGTGAGCATGTGATGTCCATTCAGTGTGGGGCTGGGTGGACAGTGATGACCATTGGAGACTGAGACAGGTGAGATCAGATCCCCATTCGTGATTGATGGCCCTGGGTTACAACCATTTGGAGTCTGTTGAGAAGATCCAGGTGCTCTCCATGCATTTGAAGCTAATGGAGGTGGTGGAAGGATGTGAGCCAAAGCAGGGACCGGTTGCTGAAGCAATGCTCCTCCACCTTCCAAATGGCCTTCTAAATATCCCCACCACACGGTCAAGACTCTGTCCAGTAGAGAAAGAACAGAATGATAGATTGAAACGCAATAGCATTGTGGTTAAGAGACATCATTCAGAATCTCTAAAGTCACCCTTGGAAATACCACTAGTCTTGACCAGTTTGAACAAAACTAAAAAGGCACCAGAACTGGATCAATTAAAATAAATAAAATTTTATATTAAAATATAGGGCAAGTACAGGAAAGAGAACATATAATGGCATCTACCTCCACTGTGTTTCAAAGTCTCTTTATCAAGAAACTATATGGCAAGGGCATGCACAAATAAATCAAAGCGAAAAAATCTTGGAATGCCAAATTCTAATGCATGAGATGAAAAAACATTCAGCGAGGGATCCAAGAAAGATATCAATACTTATGCCTCTAAATATGGAACTAAATCCTAACACTTCACGTTTAATTTAATTTGAAACCGGAATATAATTTTTATCCCCTAGGCGCCGATCTGGAATTAATAGTCTTGCTTTGGCTGTTTCTCTTCCTCAGGATTTTCATCCTCGGGGAAAAGTTATTACCAACGGTGCTCAGATTTTTTGTCCCAGATGGTCAGGGAGAGTTGCTAGGGCCTGCAGGGCAGGCATGGGACCTTCACTGTTTAAACTTGGGTCTGTTCCCAGGTATTTTTACGCACAAACCACATGTTCACAAACTGACAGCAGTAAAGAAAGACACATAACCTTAGCTGTTGTGCTACGGCTATTAGAAACCCCTAACTTTGCCCCCCACATTTTCCTAGAAATTAAAAAAAGCAAGGAACGGTGCGAGGGGTATTTTTCTCAGCAGGGGGTTGGCAGTAGGACCTGCTTCAACTACTCCCACCAATTTTTTACTTCGGAAATTACCGGTTTTTTCTCCGCGTCGAACCGGGGCTAATAAATTGCAGATGCCATTTAGGATGCGCAACTCATATCAAATCAGGATTCGGGATTGGCCATCCGGAAAAAATAATTAAATTCTGCAGTGCCATGCCAACTTTCGTCGCAGCATGCCACTCCTAATGAAATGAATAATTTATTGGTGGTTCAGCAAGAAAGTCTCTGATTTCAATATTTGTTGTTATAAGTGAATGCCATGCATGTTTCATTAGATATCAAATATGATATGGTTTTGAACCCTGGGCCTTAGATTTTGTCTTCCGCCTCTTGAGTAATACAAGATGCATCCTCTAAGCAAGTGGATGTAAATTACTACAGTATTCTAAGGATCTAAACCGCTCTCCTGCTGTTCAAATGCTGACAAAGCGTGTGCATAACATATTGCCAGTAGTTAGCAATTTCTGTATTTTTTTTTACCCCCTCCTTATTTCCCAATCAAATAAAACTCCTCACTTGCATTGAGACCTATCATTAATTTCTGCCTTTCATTTAATCATCCCCCATTTGCTATCATATGGTTCCCAGGCACGCATGGATGAAGACAACGAGGAGTCACCTCAAGCAGCTGGGGGGCATTTAGTGCTGGAGGATGATGGATGGAATAAACAGACACCTGAGCCCAACCTCGGAAGAGGAACTCTCCCTTCCTCCTCAACTTTTCAATATTGGCCTTCAAAAAATCAGCATGTCATCAGGACATGCCGGATGTTAGAACTAAGACTCACCTCTTCTCATCATTTGATATGGCTGGGTGATTGAGGCAGCAAAGAAGCAGCTGCTGGAATTCCTCGTGCTGATCTCCTGTCTCCTTGCAATGAAGGAACACCTAACAAGAAAGAGAGAAATTTTGAAAATTGGGAAATGACAAGTTCCAAAACTCTGCTTGGAATTTTCATCTCTGTATAAATTATTTCATGGCTCCACAACCCTTTTTCCTCAAATGAAATGCCAACGGCGAGGCTGATGCAATTACGCCATTCTCCATCATAGATGACATCTCTCAAAAGTTCTTTCATGAGCTTCTCACACAGGGAAGCCTTGCCGCAGAAGCAATCCAATCTACGGCTAAATTAAAGAGCCGCCTCTCTTCTTTCCTTTGTACACTATCACACAAAGACAAGAAACAGCCTACCTGAAATTTAGACCAAAAATTATGTCGTAGCATAATTTCTTCACATTAACCTCAGAGGAACTATTAGCTTTCAAAGGTTCCAAGCGGCAATGCCGACTTCATGCGATGTAAAGAGAGGAGCTGGTACCTTATGGAGGAGCTGGAAATACTGCATTTTGGCCTCGGAGTTCCCAGGATGTAGGAGCGGCAGATGTGAGAGGAGCTGCGACACCAGTGAGGACATCCCTTCACCATGCAGCGAGCACAGGAAAGCTATCCACAGACAAAAGAACAAGGGAAAATAAAATATAAAATAAAGAGCAGGTAATTTAGGTTGGGAAGTTCATTGAGGTCTAGGTCTCCGGTGCATGACTTATTGGCTGCATTCGCCAAGTGCTAAAAAAAAATTAAGGGGGGAGGAGCATCCGACAATCCCAGCCACAAAAGCATGGCTCAATTCCAAAAAAAAAAGCTGTCGCATGAGTGGGTGGAAACCTTTCATGGACGGTCCGGACCCAAGAAGTAACTTGAACGAGGCAACACTAACGGTTTCATCGCTCAATTCACCACCACCCACGTCCTCCTCATCTTATTCAGCAAGGGACTTTGAGAAAAACCAGTTTTTCCACCTTCTGGGCGGGTAGTTGATTGCGTTCATCATATGCAAACCGAGCAACGACAGGGCGAGCCAATCACAAAACCGGATCCAAACTTCTTGGTAAAAATTTATGACAACGGGAACCTGCCACTCGGTAAAGGGCCGGGCAATGGCGAAGAATAAAGTGGCTTTAAAAAAAAAAAAAAAAAAAAAAAAAAAAAAACAACAAAAAAAAAAAGAAAAATAGCAAATGGGGGATGATTAAATGAAAGGCAGAAATTAATGATAGGTCTCAATGCAAGTGAGGAGTTTTATTTGATTGGGAAATAAGGAGGGGGTAAAAAAAAAAGCAACAAAGGGAAGAGGAAGAGGAAAAGGAAGAAGAAAAAAACGTGGGTGGAAACAGTGAGAGATTGACAGGAAGGAAGCCAGGTGCATGGGGTCCCTCTCTATCCCTTTTCTTTTGTTCTCGTCCGTTATTCGATACAATCGAGTCATTAAAAGCCCACGACAGTAATTAGGGATCCTCTTGATGCCCTCGGGGCTGGCACATGTCACGACTCAACGTCATACCTATTATCGAAAGAAAATAACGCAAGTGGGAAAGAAAATGCATAAAGAGAAGGGGGGAGACAGACTTTCACCCAGAACGGACAATGGCGAAGCCTTACTTTTCGCCCAATTATGTTTCTCTCACGAGGAGACAGGAGTGTGTGACGACGATGATTACGAAAACGGAGAAAGGCAGTCTAGGGGTGATGGGGGAAAAATAAGAAAAGGAGGCTGACTGAACTGACCACGAGGTCATTCGGCCGTGATTCCCGTATCATCAGTCGGAAAAAAAAAGGAATCTTCTCATTCCCCTCCCGTTTTTTTCCCCTTCCCCTTTCTTATCCTAGTTTCCAATCAATTACCGAAGCTCCCCTCCATCGATCACTGCGTGTAGGGCTCAGCCTCAGCACATTGGACACACCAAGCCGTACGTCTCCCCGTGGAATGTGTTTCCCCCTTGCCTTCAGGGACTTTCTTTATCATGGAACCTGCGCTATCTCCAGGCCCTGTCAAAGCAACTCCCAAGCAAAGAAACTCCGAAGCAAAGCAACCCAACTCGGCAGCTCTTAATGAAATTTCAAACCGAAGCACGGTCATGTACTAACTGACTTATCTCTGGAAGGAGAGATAAGGGAGGAGTGGAGCAGATTATCCTAGCTTTGACGTGAAAGAAGGAAGCGATCCAAAGACACCCTTGTTTTCCCTCTCTCTCATAAGTAGTAAGGAAGATGGATTAGCCCCCGAATTACACAATCCATTATGGGATCTCCGGTCCGGAATGAGCAGGGATCCGAAAATTGAACATACGGATTCCCTCTAATGGAGAAGAGAGAACAAAACAGGCCGACGAGACACACTAAATCTCTGGCCCTGACAGCAGCAAACCAAAAAGAAAATAACCTCCGATCGTGTCCATACTGGGGAGCCCGACAGGCCGCAAAAAAAAGCAAAGTGACCTTCTCTCTGGTCGATATCGGGACATGAATCAAATTTACGACCATATGACGATTCCTCGTATAAAAAGACCTGGATACATGCTGGGACTTGGGACGGCACGCGGCATGGCACAAAAGACCCCTATTTACTGTATCATCCCGATACAGATGGATTTATGAAGAGATCCATGTCACATTTACATACACATTCAGACACATAAATGACCCACATATGGGTCATTCCCTTTTCAGTCGAGGGGGATGTACAGCCCATGGGTGCGAGTGTGTAAGGCACCTGTCTACACTCCCATGGAGTCACCATACCTCTGTATGGGACCACAGAAAGTAGGTTGGGGATGGGAGGGACAGGGCCCCCTTGTCCCCATGATAACATGGGACAATGTACACTGGGGGGAGGGGACAAAGGCCTGATAATATGCACCTTCACACATTTCATGCATTGGTATACCAGCGACCTGACGGGTCTGTAATTGCTGATGAGTGAGCCATCTCACTTCCCCTGCAATGACAGGACGTTTCATTAGTAATATATTTTCTAGATATATATTTTCATAGTTCAGCGAGATTCCTTTTCATAGAACAAGCTGGCTGGAACAAACAATAGATAAAAGAATGATGTGAAGATCCAACTGAGAATTTCCTTCCGCACCAACCACAAACGAGCAAGACATCTTTAAGCAAATTTTTTCAAGATTAGACATCTCATATTCGCTCATTCCTCATCAAATGGATTCCAACCAAAATGTTGTTCTTGTATGCAATAAATTTGTGGGATTCTGCAAACATTCCTACATTTACATCAATGACTGTTATGGAGTTAGACCCATACTACTGGCTTCTTCCTCAATTTTTCCTCAGTTCCAGCACCATATTTGAAACGCTCTCCTGCTCTCATCCTCTATTCATCAAGCGCTAAATAATACATATTCTCCCATTCAAAGAAGATTGGCTGTCAGAATAATCCGAGTGGCAAACGAAGGAAGGGGCTCTGGTCCGATTCGCTCACGAACGAATCTAGACAAGAGCCCCAGAAATCCAACTAGACGCTTAATGCAGTTCTAGCTTTAACGAGAAGCGAACACGTGTTTCCACCATTAGCCCAGAAATCGGAGTACTGAAAAAGATGGCTCTTGTGCTGGTCTCTTTCTCTTATTTCCAGTCCAGATAATACCGCCATGAAACGATCAAATCCAAACTACAGCACACGCATCTGCAACAGCTTTCCCATACTCTCCCGAATGAAAGAGTGGTTTTGCTGAAGACGTCTTATCGGCGAACAAAGCCGGGCGATGAAAGTTGAACCTGATTTTTCCTCCCTTTCTTCTTCTCGTGCCATTGACGGCTGCAGATACGTTGAAGCATTGAGATGCATATCGAAAGCTGGGTTTTAAGAAGGCGTGAAGTCATGCGTAACTGAAGAAGACCCAGACGAGACGAGACGAGGAGACACCTGGCAGGTGCCTCGGGGTGACGGGGGTAGCCTCGCAATGCCTACCATGCGAGGCGACGAGGTGTACCACCAAAGTACTTTGACTGGAACGCTATTAATCGCTCTGATTCCCCTTCCCTTCTTCCCTTCCGGGGAAAACGCGGTCTGAGAGGGATCTGCGTTGCAGGAACACGTTTCGACCCAGGAAGTTGCAGGGAGAAGGGGGAGACGAAACTTCCGTCAGCATTCTCAAATGTCCCTGGAGGGTTCCACGGGCGTGAAAAACACTCGGATCAGCAAGGAAGATACGACCAAGGTCGCGGAATCGGTGTCTCAATCTTACTTAATAAGAGCCTGAAACGGGGAGAGCAGGAATCATTAAGAGAAAAAGGACCAGGGAAGGAGGGGAGGGAACAGGAGGGGATGAAAGGTTCATAGACCCCCTCGCTTAGTGTCCCCCTACCGGAAAATTTGGCAGGGGACCAAAGGTCATTTTCAGAAAGATGGAGGGGAGGAAAGCTGATCACCTGGGTGAGGGGAGTGTCTCTCTCTCTCTCTCCCCCACCCTCCTCTACACATTTGGCACTACATAAGACCTCTTCAACACTACGACAGGAGTCTTTTAGGGGGGGACAACCCCATCTGTGTGAAGTGGTTTCAAGGGGACTCAGCTCGACAGAGGAGCTAATTCTCCGTAACACATTGGTCACAGCTAAAGTACACATTTATTTCCGTCTCCATGGCGACGGATGAAAAATTCCCGGAGATCTGTCCTCCAAGAAAATTGGGTCAATAATGGGCGTTGGTGTCAGCTCTTCCATAATGAAAGTGCCCACACGTCTAGCATATTCCCGAGGTGTTTCTCTGCCTCCGTGCCTCAACCCCCGCAGAGGAATTAGGTATCTTTCCATGAAAGGGCTTGTCTCCTAACGCGTCCTCCCACTACAGAAAATCGATTCCCCCATACCTACCCGCATGGAAACGGGGTATCAACCTCTACCCAGGTGTGCCAGACGACAATTATTATTACCGGCAGGGGGAGGAAAAGGAGCACGTGGGGCACAAACATCGACGTGCATCCCACACATACTCTCTGTCGCCATTAATTGATGACTTATCGACCTGGAAAAACTCTCCTGGTGGGCCCCGCGGACTCCGTGAATGTTATCGAGGTTGGCCATCAGGGGCATATGGGAACAAAACAGATTCCTCTCTCTTTCTCTTCCAAGTACCAACACTAGAGGAAGGAGAAGAGGAGCGCCGTCGTCATGAGGTGCATGTCTAATACACAGCACAGGCGTGACTCGTTAAGAAAGGTTTTTTCTTTTTTTTTTTTACATAGCTGAGACCCCGGGAATTTCAATGAGCTCTCTCCTATTGATGGATTGATGAGAGCCGGGTGTATAAACCTCATTCCTTCTCCCTCCCCCAAACATTCAATTTGCATGCCACCGAAAATCTTGTCTGTCACCCACAACGACACCAGTCAAGGGCAAATTTTGGGCTTTACTCCGTCCCCCAGAAAAAGGAGAAAAAACGGAGAGCAATTAGTATTGATTATGAGGCTCTCATTAGGCTTCGAGCACGACAGGAACTGGGTGTGTAATTTCTACCCTTGCTGTGGCAGGTCTGAAAAACGAGAAGCATACACGGGTAGAAATATCCACACAGGATAAGGAAAGGGAGAGAGGGGAAAGGAGCATTTCGAAACGTTGCATGTCAACCCCGAGCCTCATTA